GTTGTTCCTCAGGGAAGCACTCGGGGGAAGAAGTCCTGGGCTCAATGCAGAACATGCAGAAAAACACTCAATCACAACTAAATTTGCTTACCACATTTTGAACCAAGTGAAGTCATATACAGTACTTCAGCATCTAAAGAGAGAAGGGGGCTTCCATCCAGTTGAAGTAGTACACCTTGCCATCCAAACAGTGGACCTCTGTTAAGTCCAGAGTCTAAAGTTACGTAATTGCAACACTGACTGGTCGGACACGGCCATACCTCTAGTCATGTCAGAAGTTCCATAAACTCTGCACATGCATTATTGTGGAATATTATGTGGGCCCACAAACCACACACAAACCATGGTGTTTTAGAAGAATGGGTAATGTATGTCAAAGAGTTGATAGCATTATGAAGTGTTAAAAAGAGGAAAGTAATTCTGAAAACTGTTCTTTATACACAGGTCTCCACCACCACCATAATTTAACTCTGAATATACCAAAACGAAGCCTTGTAAACACTACTAAAGAATCTTGCCTCTTCCATTAAAGTCTGCAACACTTGCCTTTGGTTAATATCTGCAGAAAATTCAAGGAGACCTAAGCATTCCCAAGTGATTGAAGCATTTTGAACAGAGAGAATTGCAAAGAATATAATCTTGATATGTTTTTAAGTTTAACCCACGTTTTACTGCATAATGATGGAGATAACCAAGGTTATAAAACTGGTGAACAGTAAGATTTTGTTTAAAAGGTTCATAATGGAATCTGGCTAGCCAAATCTCCATTTGGGATGAATAAACCTTCTTTTGCTATTAAAGAATCCAAAACCCATATAAAATAATGAACCACCTAAAACTATTTTCTTTTTGTTCAACATATTTTAAGCTTTGAAGCCAAATGCGAAAACAAGTACTCTACAGAAATGTTTTCTTTTGTGCATCAGTAAGTCAACCTCTTGTTTGTAAATCACATTTTTCAAGCTGTAGTAATTTTCTTCATACAACAGGAGGACGCAGTATTTTAAACTCCCAAAAGGTGATGAGATGCATTCAAATGGTTTCAAAATCAAGTTTCAATTCCAACAGTAGGAGCCAAAACACAAAAACACTTCCATTCCTATATTTTCCAAAATTAAAGAGGTGGCAGAAAACATTATATTAAATCTACTGAAACAGTTCACAAAAAACTACGGGAAACAGATTTGCTACAGAGAGCCACCCAAAACTAGAACTTAGAAAAATTTATTTTCTGGACTTCCGCTTTTGAGAGTCATGGTGGAAAAAAAATTCCAAGTGCTTTAAATCAGTAACAACAAAATCCTTATTGCTGAGAGAATTCTGCCCTTTTGACCACTTTAGTCTGTGACATGGCTACTAGCTCAAGTCCTAGATCCTCCAGGACAAACACCTAAAAAGGGAACATCAGCTTGGGATTTATGTGTAAAAATACTGTACTCTAGTGTTAGCGCTTGTTGTTACAGTATATTATAGGGCTAACCCCCCCCCCTTTGTTGTATCTCCAGCACTTACACAGACAGGATGTTAAATGGTTTGGATCATAGCAGTCATGAAATGCTGCTGCCAGGCTGCAGTTCATCACAACACAGGGTAACCTGCAGGCTGACGTGAACTTTAAACCAAAACCAGCAAACATTTTCTGAGAGACGGAGGGATGCATTCCTTCAGAGGAAATAATTTGTGGGCTGTGGGCTGGTGGGCAGTGCCAAAGCCAAGAGGAAAACTGTCTCCACAGAACAGAACTAGAGGTGATGACCTTCTCTCACCCCTGCTTGTTTGCATCTAGTAAAACACATTCAGACGGGACATAGTAAGGTGCTTTTACCTGAGAGGGACTTTTCTGGATTAGGGTGAATGTCAGTCAACTCAGTAACAGCTAATTGTTTCCTTTTTACCTCAGCCCCCCCCCCCGGTTCTGTCAGTATTAGCAACGAGTCTGTCAGAAGTGGACAGTTAGAGTTATGTGTTCTGTCAGCTGTGTAACCAGTCAGTTAGTCAGTAATGAAACTAGTTAACCAGTTAAGCTCAGTGAGGTAACAAGGTAACATTTTTACAGAACATGATGTTTGTTTATACCTGTGAAGAACTAAGTAAAATGGAAACATTTTATTTTTTTCTCATTACTAGAGTCTCTGAGTGAATATGTTGAGACAATAAGTGCCAATTGAGGTAAACTAACAAATAAGGGGTTGTCTACTGAGGGAGATCTGAAACCAATCTGCTCTATAGATTCCTGCCTGAATTGTTTTTATTCATTGCATAATTAGAGGAAGTTTATTTTAATTAAGCTATACTAAATTTCCTCACATACTCCACCTCAAGAGAAACCACTTCATTCCACAGTGACATTGTGAGTCCCTTCACATCAGAGCACTGAACAGCTATTCTGTGGAAACATGATGCAATTAAATATGAGACTTGCAGAGCAGAATCCTTCCGGCAATTTACACCACTTTGGTCACTTGATTTGGAGTGGTAAATTGTTGCTAAGGAACAAGTTGCTGCTTGCATTCCTGTTTATATTCCAGTCGTGAGATTGGCACATGAGTAGGAATGCAAGTAGCAAACTTATTCATTAGTGGCAACATGCTTTCATGATGTGAACAATTGCTATCTACGCCGGTATAAATCCCCAACTGGATTTTGGCCATTTCCATTCACTGTCTTGGCATACTGAGATCTACCTATGTCAAAACAAAACTGAAGCCAAAGCAAGGGCACAGCAAAAAGAAGTAAATTCCAGAAGGGTAATCCTTAGAAACATACAATTTAGGAGCTAAACCCCAGGGGAAAGAATCCTGCATAAATTCCAGACAACTAATCTTTTAGAAACATACAATTCAGGAGCTACAGTAAATCCCTCAGAAAAAGAATTCTGCATAAATTTACATTTCTTACAGCCCTGCTCTAATCCTGAAGAGTTGTAGAAACCCTCAACCAGATGCAAATCCAAGTGCTATAATAAATGTATTGCAAAAATTATTTACTGACAAGTTCCTACAGCAGAATTAGTTAGTGGGGGCTCAGTTCAGGTCTTTAAAGACATATAAGCTTTTTTTTTTTTAAACTTGACTGTAAGACAATCAATGGTCAGCTGGATAGCTCACTAAGTTAGGCACTGGCTGCAAAGCCAGATGTTAGGGGTTTAATCCCCCACTGTACCTCCCAAGAGCCAGCCTGTGTGGCCTTGGGGAAGCTGCACAGTCCCAGAAGTGCTCCCAATACAAGTGAACGGTAAAGCACTTCTGTATATTCTATATCTAGAAATGCCTGGAAAGGTGTCATCTTGAGTTGAAAACAACTTGTCAGTCAGTATATAAGCAGCAGCAAGTCAAGCAAGTATACTTTAGGCCAAGTTGAGAATTCCTTCGCTGAGGAGATCAAACCACATCCTCTGCTGAATCTCCAACCTGTTGGCCATTATTTTCTCCCTTGATTAAAAGAAACAAGCTTCCACCCCCAGAGGGTGCAGCTCACCAAATTGCCCACTCCCTGGAGGCCAGTGTATAGTTTAAGTTCATTTTTCAGGTAAATAAACCCCATCATGATCAAGATCCATTTTTGGAGGAAAAACTGGTCTGCAGGTAGAAAGCCACAGCAGAGTCGTGGGAATCATTCTGTTTACTGTACTGGACATGGGGCCATCTCTCCGCTAGACAGAAGAATGTGGGGGTTTGCTCAGCACAATGAGTTCCTGGCCATCAGAGAACAAGTCTATTCTCTTGAAAGCAACAAATCATAACACATAATTTTTACTAATGTGCTGTCTGGATAAGCCATTTCCGACCACTGAAATAACCCCATGTCAATATTATGACAGAGTGATTTTTTTAAAAAAAGAACTTTTTTCACAGAAAGCAATTCTGTGCATCCTGTTTAACCTTAATTCACCTTTGTTTCTTAGCCTCCATTGTTAAAATGACATTGTTAGAACGACAGAGGGATATAGCTTCAGCCCGTGATCATTTGAGCTATCTTCTTCTTCACCTTTTTCAAGCTCTATGATGTACTGTTTGAGGTTTGGCAACCAGAACTGTACACAGTAGTCCATGTGTGGCTGCATCCTAGATTTTGCAAGCTGGAAAGTTAGAGGTAGCTCATGAATAAAATAGGGAAATCCTTAATGTCACAGCATAATCTTCTCTATAGAGATAGGTACCATATTTTTCCATTTACAAGATGACCCACAGTATGACACCACCCCTTTTCTAACACCCAAATTAGAAATTTTGAGGGCAGCGCGCGCGCCTTTGATCCTCGCACCCTTTCCCGGCTGCCTTTCCAACTTTCTAAGCCCTGCTGAGCTTAGGTAATGGCTAATGCAGGCATGAAAGGGCAGCGTGCCTGTATCCTCGCACCCTTTCCTGGCTGCCTTTCCAACTTTCTAAGCTCTGCTGAGCTTAGGTAATGGCTAATGTAGGCATGAAAGGGCAGCGCGCCTGCACGCCCCTTTGATCCTGATGCCCTTTCACGGCTGCTTTACTCTGTAGTTTTGCAAAAGGCAGGGAAAGCAGCTGCCTGCCCTGTATAAAACGACACTCAATTTTTGGTCCAATTATTTAAGTAAAAAGTCTCATCTTATACACGGAAAAATATGGTAGCTTAGTTTGCTTTCTTTAGTGACTGCTCTTCAGGACTTAAGCTGCATGGTTCCTTTGAAATCTGATTTTACAAATATAAAACAACTGCCTCAGACTCTGCCACATTGATATGTTTCAGCAGTAATTGTGGAGTGCCTCTTCCGTCTGTTCCTCACCTATCTTGAACTTCATGGCAAGTTCAAGGGTAAACATCCTCCTTAAAGGCTTCTTTATGAACTACCTTTGTATTAGCCATCCTGCCGCCAAATCTAGTCCCCCTTGCCAGCTGCCACTCTGCAGTTGTGTGCATCTGACTTAAAACTTTGATCTTCAGAGTATCCCATGAATCAAAAACAAACACAGAGCTTAAAAACATGCCCCATAGCACAGTATCGTGAAAAGCATTCAAAGTGCCCGTACCTGGTACTGTCTGTGCAGACGGCTCAGTGGTCATGGCAGGAGCAGCACTCGGCTGCTGCTGGCTTGAGCTAACTTCAGGCTCCGTACTAACCGAAGGAGACAAGGCTACCTCACTGGGAATTTGATTTGGCACAGGCTGGAGAACGTCTTCCGAGGCTGCCTGCTCGTCTTGCCCGGGGAGCTGCAAGGCTGATAAAGGGATGCTGATAGGCTTCCCAGCAGTGGAGGTGCTGGCGGGCATCTGGAGGGCTGCCTGAGGATTGGCAGCTGGGGTGCTCCCAGGCCCTCTGCTTGGGGAAGCCAGGTTCCCTTTGGAAGGCTTCTGAGCAACTGGCCTTGATAGGACTGGGGAAGAGACGGGCACGTTTTGTAAATCCCGTTCCGTGCTGAGTGAAGGGGAAGCATGAGGACTGGGCTTCAGTGCCACAGAGTAGGGGGCTCCGGGATGAGCTTTTGGTTTGGACATCTGGGTCAAGGATAAGGCAGGTCCATCAATGCCACCTGTGATTTCTGCATTAGCCACGATGTAATAATCCTCCGGCAGTTCTTGCTTGATTTTTTTGACTAACACTTCATTGCTGCTTCCATCAAGGCTCTGAGAACGGGACCCTGGATGTAGTGAAGAAGAGAGACCTGGGCCTGGTCTTTTGCGAGAATTGGTTTGAGATCTTTGAGGATGAGGTTCAAAATCACTATCTTCATCAGTCACTGAGGACTCACAGACCATGTCAAAAAGAGTTGCTTCATCTTCGTATTCCTCTACAGCTTCATCCAGTTCTGAAGGCTCACTGCAGTAGGAGAAATCGCAGGAATCTCTGGTTCGGTTGCAGTCTAGTTTTGCTTTCCCTGGCCTCCCAGAGTATCGTTCCACTGGGCTTGTCTGTGTGTCTGAGGAAACACCTATAATGCTAGGACTGTCTGAGTTGAAGCTCCTATTGTCTTGAAAACAGACTCTTTCCTGAGGGCCTGTCCTACAAGTTGCTGTCAGTGGCCAGTGGTAGGCATGGCCTGCACTACAGCCCCACATGGCTGTCAAGTTGCCGTGGGAACCCTCTGAAAGGAGGTGTTTGAGGTTTGGAATGAGGCTGCAAATCGTCCCATGACTGTGGGCCCAGCTGACCAGTTTGGAAAGATTTTCAGAAGAAGTATGAAGGCAGTCCTCCATGGTGTTCACTCAGCTGCTTTCCTCCTAGAGGAAAAAGAAGTAAGGTCTATATGGCAATCAAAGTATGCAGATGAACATGAATTCAAATTTTATTTCTACAAATACAGTGGTGCCTCGCTTAATGGGTGCCCCGTTTAACGACGAAATTCCATAGTGATTAACTTTTTGCGATCGCTTTTGCGATCGCTTTGCGATGTTCCCTATGGGGAAAAATCGCTTTGCGATGATCGGTATCCTGTTTCGCTTACTGATCATCGCAAAGCGATGATTTTTTAACAGCTGATCGGCGGTTCCAAAATGGCCGCTCGGTAAAAAAATGGCCGCCCGCTGTTTTCTGGGACGGATTCCTTGCTTACCGGCCAACGAAAATGGCCGCTGTATGGAGGATTTTTGCTTAAAGGTGAGTCTGAAGCCCATAGGAACGCACTGAAGGGGTTTCAATGCATTCCTATGGGCTTTTTAATATCGCATAGCAATGAAATCGCTTTGCAGCGATTTTTGCTGCATCGATTATTGTCGCTATGCGAGGCACCACTGTATCTGAAGGAGCGGACATGTACCTTGCACATCGTAAGCATACAGAACGTGGTAGATAAACTATTTTTTAAAAGATATGTCTTAACTCAGCCTTTGCATTCATCTTTAGAAACACTCAATAATACATAGAAAAATTATTGGCAACTTGCAGAGGTTACTTATTTCATGCTTAAGGCAGAAATCCTATGTACTGTGCCTCAGTAAAATCTGTGAGGATTACTTCTGTATTGACACTTTAAGGATTAGACTATAATCCAACAGGGACACCCAGAGCAGTGTGTAGTGGAAAGAGCAAGGGACTAGGATTCAGGAAGCCTCACTTTAGATCAACCAAGGAAACGCATGGGGGTAACCAACTGGTAAAGCCACTCCTTAATTATAACAATTACCTTGAAAGCTCTATTAGGGTCACTGTAAATTGGTTCTGATTTGATCACATTTAACATAGTAACATGAACTTAACATGCATTTTACTTTGGGCACAGTACAGCCTTAGTTTAGCTGTCACTGATTTCAACAGTTGACAGGACCAACCATTATATAAGAACTGGCCCCCAAGTTCTCTGCTTGAGAACCAGAGGATGGCATTCAGAGAAGGTCTGAGTTTGGAACCTAAAAGCAGGAGTGGAGTAGTGGGAGTGTCTGGGCACACATGGGTTAAAGATGGGAGCCAATGCAAAAGCTGTCTGTTACAGCTTTTTAAAAAATAACTGAAGTTGAAAAACTGGCCTTGCACCCTTATTTTTCAGACAACTGTACTCAAACAACAAAAGAACACCAATGTGTTTTCCCTCCCACAATGGCACTTCCTTGCAGATAACATGCTTCTGCTATCAAATTTGCAGATTAAGCCCGTGTTTACTTTCTAACAGCCAGTCAGGAAACAAAACACTCTCAGAAGAGGCACAGGTGAAGAAAATTTTACAATGTGATAAACAAATGTATTTTATTACTTGATTTTAAAAAGTGCTAAACACATTGTCCAGTTTAACTTAAGGTATGCTAGCTTCAGTTATGTCCTCCTATCTAAAAGAAACCAAAATACAGCCCATTCTTAAAAAAATCGATTTGGTGAAGGATGATTTAAACAACAACAGACCCATCTCACATATTCCTTTCTTGGGCAAGTTGACTGAGAGAGTGGTTGTTGGCAGATTGCAGGCATTCTGGGGGAAAACTGGAGAGTCTGGATCCATTTCTGTTTAGGCCACAACATGGTACTGATACAACACAGGTCACTCTGCAAGACAGTCTCCCAAGGGAGGCAGTCAGGTAAGTGTAACCCTGCTGGTCCTCCTGGGTCTTTGATACTATGAACCACAGCATCCTTCTGGAACAACTATAGACCTTAGGGATTGGGTGGCTCTGTACATCAGTGATTCCAGTCCTTTCTTGATGACCGATCCCAGATGGTACAGCTTGGGGATACCATCTCATAGGGTCAACTGCTTCCCCAATGCTCTTGGAAGCTGCTGGGAGAAGTCATATGAAGCTTTGGTATTCACTGTCACTAGTATGCTGATGTAAAAATACATACTCTGCCATTATTTTCGTTCCGGGGTGATATGAAAATGTAATTTGGGGGGGGCAACATTTGCCGGCATGGTGGAGGCTTTGGGAAATTTAGCCTCCCCCCAAAAAACAGCAACCAACATCCCCCCGCTTTTCCAAGATCCTTAATATACTTATTACAGACCCCAAAGACTCTCCTTTGAAACCTTCCCCTCCCCTCTTTGCTAAGCCTCTTGGCTGCATTTTATTTAATGTTCTTTGCTCTTTTGAGAATTCATTACTGTTGCAGCTCGGTTTTATTTATTATCTCATACAGAGAGTGAATTGTTTGAAAATTAGCTTTGCCTATATTTTATACCCAACACAGCCATAGCTGCAGGTGACTTTAAAAAAGAAAGAAAGAAGGGATAATAATTTGTTTTAAGTTATTTCAACAGAGCAGTGGCATTCCCAGAGGAGAACATTAATCCTGGTTTCTTGTATCAGGAGGGACTGTTGGAACAACATAGCATCATCAGGAGGTGAGCCTAATATAGAGTGAACTGTTCTTTCTCTCCAAGAAAAGGTATTTTGATGAAGAAATTTGTTTTTCCCCTTGCTTCAACCCTGGTTCAGTGGTGGTGCCACATTCCTACTAGCCAACTACTGTCATTCTGCTACCACTGGCAAGGCTTCACTAGAAAAGGTTGCTTTGCCAAGAATCAGAGGCATGGCTTCTGCTTCCCATTGCCAGCTCAACAGGTGCTGAACAGACTGCAGACAAATTGGCTGGTAAAATGCCTTCTGCCATCTCCTAGGCATCAAAGAAAGGCCTGTTTTGCCTAAGAGTATTAGCTTAATAAGCCCAAATAGAGGCATATGCAAATGTTTTGTAAATCTCTGCTAGATTTGTTCCCCATCCACACCACCCTGGGTTCCAAGCTTTGTTTTGTTCTTTCAACGAAGCATATCATAATAAAATAAACTAAGCAGCAAACCAATAAAAACTCATCTGAATTCTTTTGGTTTATAGATTTCCATCTCATCTGTCAGTCAATGGAGATATCCGTCAATTAGCCCAGCACCTTGGAAAAGCATAATCTTAATAGTCTTACTGGCTGGGGGATTCTGGGAATTGTAGTTGCAGACTACCATTTTCAAGTGCTCGATTGGACATGCAAACAGTTATGATATCATAAAGTCACATGATGTGCAGTGCTGCAACAGTATTGGAAGCATTGCCCCGCCATAGAGATGGCCACCCATGTCCATGCTACGCTATACACCTTATTTATTTTGCTGTATGGCCCAACCTATCATAATGAAAATAAAAGTGAGAAGAAACTGATAGTAAGTCTGGAGGTCAGACGGGATGATATGGTTTGCATCTCACTTCAACTGGTGCTCCCTTAAGTGATGAAATATGTCCATTTGCCAAAGGGCATTCCAGCAAGCTTTGTTTTATGATTGGTCACTGGAAAGAAAACGCTGGTTTAATTCACAAATCTGTCAAGAGTTATTTCTGAGGAAATGGCATTGTCGAAGGAAAGGAAGGCTAAATTACAGGAAATACACATTTCTTTAATATCCAGTTTGACAATAACAGAAGCTGTTATCCTCTAGATCACTGGTTCTTAACCTTGAATGGCATTGTCGAAGGAAAGGAAGGCTAATTACAGGAAATACACACTTTCTTTAATAGCCAGTTTGACAATTATTTATATAGAACAGAGCTCCAGAAACTGTTATCCTCTAGATCAGTGGTTGCAACGTTCAAAAGCATCTGAGTAACAAAGGTTAAGAACCACTGCTCTAGATCAGTGGTTGCAACCCTTGGGTAACCCAGATGTTCTTGGACTGCGGTACCCGGAAGCCTTCACCACCAGCTCTGCTGGCTGGAATTTCTGGGAGTTAACAGTCTGAGACCACTGGGCTACCCAAGGCTGGGAACCACTGCTTTAGATGTTTTTGGACTACAATTCCCAGAAGCCTTCACCACCACCTCTGCTGGCCAGGATTTCTGGGAGTTGAAGTCCAAGAATATCTGGAGGCCCAAGGTTGGGGACCATTGCTCTAAAGGAGTTGGTCTTAGCCTCCAGAGGTCATATGCCTCAGCAAGCCTGGCCAGAGATTATGGGAGATGTATCTCAACAATATATTCCATCTTCCCTACCCCACCTCTGGTACTGAGAGCAAAATAATGCACATTTGCTAATTTGGCTTACACTAGCATAGTTTTCCCCCCTAAGTACACATGAGTCACAGCAGCATATTCTGCTAGTTTTTAAAGCATTTATATCATATTTTCTTTGAATTTGAATCATTATTAATCAAATAAAGAATTTGTCATTTTCAAACCAGGTAAAAAAACCTATTAATTAGCTATTGTACATTATCTCATTAACAGCATCCTCGATTCACCAATACATAGACCTATGAAGATGATCATTAGTTCATGAAGTGCACATTTTGATAATTAACTAAAGGCTGAAAGAGGCACTTGAATGCTAGAAAGAGTAATAATGATGTCCATGTAGCCCATAATGTGACCATATAATTCATTGCATATTACCTATTCAGCAAAGATGCTGGTCGGAGAAACTGGATGTCAGTTGCTTTTTGTGTTCTTACTGTACAAAGAGAAACAGGCAAGCATGTATGGGATATACAGTAACTGGCTAGGAGTTCCCCCCGCACTTCACAATTTTCCTCTGAAGCCCATCTTCTCATTTGTTGATGCTTGACAGTGTGCTGCACCAACACACAAAATGGAGCACACCAGCTTTGTCTCCTCCATTCCTGATCCTATCACCTCCTACTGCCTGTAGGTTGACTATCTAAAGCAGAGAGCATCTGCTTTTCACAGGACCAGTTTCCACGGACAGCCTTCAAGGATACAGTAGGCTCACCTCTTCAGAGATGTCACCCTTTCAAAAAGTGCATAAAAACACTGTAATGAGGAGGTAGATTGCAACAAAATAAAGCAGAGGAAAAGC